GCCATAAACATCTCCCAGGGAGGGGCCATCCACAGCCTCTCTGGGCAACCTGTTCCAGCATCTCACCACTCTCACAGTGAAGAATTTCTTCCCAACTTCTAATCTAAATATACCCTCTTTCATTTTGAAACTGTTACCCCTTGTCCTTTCACAACAGGCCCTTGTAAAAAGTCCCTCCCCATCTTTTCTGGAGGCCCCTGTAAGTACTGGCAGGCTGCTATAAGGTCTCCCTGGAGCCTTCTCTTCTCCAGGCTGAGGAGGTGCTCCAGCCCCCTGATCATCCTTGTGGCCCTCCAGTGGATCCACTGGACCAGGTCCATGTCGTTTTTATGCTGGGGGCCCCAGAGCTGGACACAGCACTGCAGGTGGGGTTTCACAAGAGCAGAGCAGAGGGGCAGCTCTTGGTGCAGCTCAGGGTGCGATTCTCTTGATGCAGCTCAGGAGGTGATTTGCTTTCTGGGCTGCAAGTGCACGTTGCTGGTTCATATTCAGTTTTTCATCCACCAGCACCCCCAAGTCCGTCTGTGCAGCGCTGCTCTCAATCCACTCATCACCCAGCCTGTATTTGTGCTTGGGATTGCACCGACTCAGGTGCAGGACTTGGCACTTGGCCTTGTTGAACTTCATTAGGTTTGCCTGGTCCCACCTCTCCAGGCTCTTGAGGTCCCTCTGGATGGGATCCCTTCCCTTCCCTCCCGCCCCAATCAGCAAACTTGCAGAAGGTGCACTCGATCCCACTGTCCATGTCACCAACAAAGATGTTAAACAGGATGGGTCCCAGTAGCGACCTCTGAGGAGCGCCACTCAGCACGGGTCTCTCATTGGACATCAAGTTGTCATATGTACTTTCTTTTCTTTCTGTTTAAATGGAGATGTAAATATTGTTCTAACTCTATCAACTCTTCTGCACAGATAAAGAGGAACTTTTTGTGCCTACTCCCAGTTACTTTGAGATTGTCTACCTGAACCCAGACAGACCTGCAGTCATCCCATGCCGTGTTACTACTCCTTCAGCAAAAGTAACGCTACATAGGGAATTTCCAGCGGAAGAAATTGAAACAGATGGAACCGATATAATTTATGATGTGAAGAAGGGTTTTGTTTACCAGCATCCTACTTCTGATCATAAAGGTATTGTCTACTGCAAAGCAGAGTCACAGGGAGCACCTCAGATTTCTATCAAGTATCACCTGCTGTATGTGGAAGGTAAGGTGCACTTCTCTTTATGCTTACACCGACTCTTGTGCTGATACTGTTTCGAAGATTTTTAAAAAAAATAAATAATTGTAAAATAAGTAGTGCACGCACAGAGTTTTAAAATCAAGATCCAAAGTATATGTGATAAAACTTCTTAGGTTTATATTCCAGCAGTTCCATTGTGTAGAGGGGAAAGTTGCAGCTATACATCACTTAACTGTTGTGTTAAGCAAACTGAGCCAAAAAATTACTCTTATGTTTTATCAGTATATTTAACTTTAGAAACTAATTTTCTGCTTCCAAACGCTGTCTTCCTGTCAGTTCCCAAGGGTCCACCCTCGACCACAATTGCGGCATCATCCAGTAGAGCAGAAGTCAGTGACAGTGTTCACGTTGTCTGCACAGTCCTTGGGGAGCCAGACGTGGATGTGAACTTCAGGTGGCAGTACCCAGGGCAAGAGGTAAGAGATGGGCGCCCCACCTGAAATGGTTCGTTCGTCATAAAGGCAATGCTTTGAACGCAGTCGGTGTCTAGATTTGGAGTAAAGATTCTTTCAAGCTGTGGTGTCTGCCTCTGGCCAGCTCAGGCATGCTGGCAGGAGGAGGCAGCACATCCCTTTTGAACCTCAGCCCATCTTTCCCTGAGAGCCTGGAAGCAGTGCAGGAGCGAAGCTGGAGGACTCTACCCACGTTAGCAAAAATCGAGCTTAGCAAAGCTCACTCCTCCCTCAGGTTTCCATTCCAGAGACACTCGGCCTCTGGCAGCGTTCACAAAGAAAAGCCTCAGACAGGGTCAAAGCGAGCCAGCGTCAGGAAGCTGTTCTGGGGCAAGCCGCAAAGCCTCACTGATGCCTCTGCATGTGATAGCCCTCCCATCTCCATGGCTTGGGCACATGAATCATCACAGCACAGAATTTCTAAGCTTTAACTGTTGCCTGAAACAGAAATCTGCTTCTGCCCAACCTCGTCTGAAAGAATCCACTGGAAACATCCAGTGTATCTTAAAACTTTGATCCCTTTTCTTGCACAAAATGTTTATCTGACTAGCATCATCAATGGTCCCTGCTTTTCTCCCTCTACCCACCCTGACCAGTTGCAGTAGGGACTTGTTTTTTAACTAGCCACATCTCTACTGCTGTTTAGCCTGAGCAGGCTACAGCTGCTGGAGGATGGAACCGTTGACCAGAGGAAAGGGGTCCTCTAGGACTTAAGGGTTTTGCACTCTATTTCATTTGCCAGCCCTCTCAGTGCTGGGTTGTCCAAGGATGATGCAGAACTTGCTAATAAGGTGCTCTTATCAGCCCTGGGCTCCCTGAGACGGCGTAGAATTAAGTAATATAACAGCAGACATGCTCAGTGCTTACTAAGCTTGAGGAAATTCAAATCTAAAGCTCCAGAAGTTTGCTGTAGTCACTAAGATAAGAGACTGCAGCACTCTGGTCTCATGGGGGAGGCATGTGCCTTTTCAGGGGAAAAACTCAACAGGGAGAGAGCAAGTGAGCACAAAAGGGATTGGAACTGCTGGCTGGGGGAGGCATGTGCCTTTTCAGGGGAAAAAACTCAACAGGGAGAGAGCAAGTGAGCAGAAAAGGGATTGGAACTGCTGGTGAGAGCACTGCATGTGTAGAACCAGGTTTCTAGTCCTTGCTTAGATTTTAGTTCTTTCTTTTGGTTACTCCTCTCTTTTCCACATCCTTTTTTTCTTTCTTTTTTTTTTTTTTCACTCCCCTAGTGCTGCTTGTTTTAGGTTTTCTTGCTGAGACTGCTGAAGTCTGAGCAATTACCAGCTTTCCCTCCTTACCCTGCCCTGCCTGTTAAATGAGGGCTGCACTTGGTGAGGGGCTTGGTCCTGCTAACATGAGCTTGGTGAAGATCTGAGGAGTAAGTACTGGATGGAGCACTGAAAGGGTTTGGCAGAATTTGTGTTTCTGGTGTTCATTTGAAGATAGTAAGGAAAGGGGCAGACGTCTACATGAGCAATTTGCAGCTGTTGGTGAAGCAAAAAGATACTAGGGAAGACTGAAGTGTCTCTGGGTTCAGGGAGCTGCAGAGCAGTAGTGGTTTTAAGTGCCCAATGCCTTCCTCTGAATTTAGCTCTTAGCATTACTTCGAGTGAGATGCATCAACAAATAGCAGTGTTTCTCTCCTTCAAGGTGGAGTAGAGACACTTACAACAATTCACTTGCTTGGGCAGGGAAGGAGAAGAAATGCCCCTGCTGATCACATTAGCTTTGTTGAGTGATATGGTTTTCAGTTTTTTTGTATGTTGGTTTTTGTTTTGGTTTGGTTTTTTTAGCTTCCCTTGATTACTTTTTTTAATTGGACAGTAGTAACTGGCTGTACAAACTCCAATTTTATGTCTCTTGTGACCTAACAGTTACGACTAAGAAAAAACTATTGGAGGAATTAAACTGTAGACTCAGCCTAGCCTTCCAAAACTGTATCTTTATTAGTGCTCACCCCGCACCATCAGCACCCTCTCACTGCACCCACCTGCAGGGGTAGAGGACCGAGGCTTTGGCCTGTGGCCTGTGACCCCTGCCCTGGGAAGGGCTGGTGTGCTTATCCACTGGGGTAACCAGCCTCAGCTCCAGCTGTGCCTGGGGATAGGGTGTGCAGGGTTGCATTTGGGATTCTGCCCCAACAAAATGATTAAGTAAATGTTAGAGTAGGAGCACTATAGGCTTGTTGGAGACTTAGCCCTTTCTAAGGAAGCATTCACACACTGCAGAGTGATACTGGTCATTGCACCTCCTTTTGAGCAAGAAAAAGGACTGATAAAGTTCTAAGATTCACTGGGTGTTTCTGTTCATTGCAGCTGCTTTCAGTGCAGGGAGCTCAGTGATGGATATTTTTTCCCCACCCAACACTTGGGCTGTCACCTACCACTTGATCGCTGAACAGAAGCAGCACTTTAATCCCTGCTTGCTCCTAGGACATTGCATTGGAGACAGACCCTAATCTCTGTAGGCACTAACCTCTTCCTCTTATTCTTTTTTCATTCAGTAGGTGGTTTGTTTTTTTTCCCCTTGCCACTCCCTGACAATCGCATTTGCTCAGTCATTTGCTGTGTACGCTTACTGATCCACTCCTTAATACGATTCCCTGAAACTAGCTTCAAAGCAGAAGGCAGTTAGTTTGAGGAAAAACTGGGCTAGCAGAAGCCCAACCACGCATCTGCCTTTACCTTCCCCTTCAGTAATGTCAGGGAAGTTCCACCTGCTAAGAACTAACTTAGGTTTGAATTGTATGGTAGTTCTTGATTTTCAGGCTGTGAACAGGAGGATAGAGCTCTGCTAAGTGGCTTGATTCCTCCTAAAGAGTGAAGAATAGATGAGATTACCAGTTTTAAAAAAAAAAAAAAGTTCTTGCTAGCTGCCTGCCCCTTCATGGGCATTCCCTGACTGTGACTCACGCTTGTGCCTTAAGAAGACCGGCAGCTTCTTCTGTACATTTTGTTCAAAATGAAGCATCTGTACAAAGCTGCTGGTGTTTTCCAAGTGCAAGATTGTAGCTTTGGCTCTAGGTAAGTGTCGGACCTACCCTTTTGCTACTATTGGCTTCAGCCTTGTAGCATTGGTATTGGTAAATGGCTAATGCAGCTATTTGATGAAGCAAAAGCAGATGCTTTCCAAGCAGAAACCTCTCTCTCTTTTACCAGTTTTATGTGCAAGTTATTTTTCAAAAGCCAATGTGATTAATGCTGCTGACTGGCATGATGGATTTTGGAAGGAAGAGGATTGCCTTAGTCTGTCTTTGGGGCAGTTTCTCTTACCCAGTCCTTTGCGAACCTCTGAGGTGCTGGGGAACGGGACCTGAGAAACAGTCCATCAGAGAGGTTAAAAAAAAAAAAAAATAAAAGCTGTTATAACAACAACAAAGGTCTGAAAAGTATCTTTCCAAGCATCCCTGTTTGTATTTTTTGGTTTTGGAGTTTTTATAT